ATGAGTCCTGACAACAACCATCCGAGACGGACAGAATAGTTACCTGCCATCCATTTGTCCATGAGGAAACAGGAGGCCGCGGACTGGACGCCTGGCCCTGGGCCAATTTAATGTTCCCTTGGTTATCTTTGTAAGACTGCAGAAGTTCATTAAAAAGAAAGACGACCTGACCCTGTATAGGAAATAGGCTCCCTTTGCTTTTGTTTTTTTTAAGCTGATTTTATTTGTATCTCACTTTGAATTGTGCTGTAATTGGCCCATCATTTCACATGTCTTTTTTAAAAAGGCACAAGTTAAACACTACCCACAAATCAGAGAAAGTACCTAAAATCAGGTACAGTATGTAAAAGTACCCTGATGGGTGGCTGGCTGGCTAGATGTTTGATGATATGCAAAACACCTGATAGACTCCTAAAAATTCCTCAATAATTTAATACATATTATAATCTTTCCTGCATTCTATGTTAATAGGTATAATTCGCTCATTGCGGAGGAGCTACAACTTTAAGTGAAGATAACCTCTAGTTTGCTTTCTTCCCTACACATAAGTAGTACCCCCAAGGAAGCAGGGGACTACAGAGATGGGGGATGAATTCAGAAAATCTATTAAGGTAAGAAAGAAAATATTCTTCATCTTCACGGATCTCTAACCACAACTTAGCATTTCCTTCAATTACAAATGCAGACAGGAAGCCACATTTGCATAAGCAGCACCTCTGATTTTTATCACCAATAGAATTCAGACGTTTTATATCACGCTATAGTCACTGCAGGTATACTTACACCCATCATTCACAATCACCCTAGTTATTACACTTACCTCTCTAACATTATTTAATGCCAACAAAGAGATATTGCTATATCAATAATTTATTCAAAAACCGTCATATATATATATATATATTTCAATATGACTGGCCTGCTTTGCAATTGTATATGTGTGTGTGTATGAACATAAATGCACTTCCTCTCCTAAACTCTGAAATATCCATTTTGGTTTTTTAGGGAGCTCTGTGCTCCCTAACCCCTTACACCAACATGGGTGATAAAATGTCTAGGGTAAACAACCACAGCTTGTCACTACCCAAAGACCCATAACCTGTGTGGCTATACAATTGATAGAACATGGTCTGAGAAAAAGAGAGAGAGAGAGAGAACAGCCAGGACAGGGCGGTCAGGTGGGTGGTGCAGGAAATGGGCTGGGGAACAGGTGGACTGATGAAAAAGGTTTTAGTTCTTAACTTCCTAGCAATTAGAAGGAAACAAGGAATGAGTAAAGGAAAGCAAGTACACACACATTCACATTCACGGAAACCACCACGTGGGCTGGGACACTGCTTTGGGGAGGCAAAAAAGGAAGACTGTGTCCCCACTGGAAAGAAAGATGCACAGACGGTACTGAAAGAACAGTGAAAAAAGATGACAGGCTGATGGGGTTTTGGTAGAAGAGTCGGCCATGCTCTTAGTTCAGGACTAAAAAGTGTCCAAACAGGAAGCCCAGGTTTACTCATGTTCCTATACTTCTCCCCAGCTCCCACATACCCAGAGTATAATGTCCACTAGAGACTCTCCACCAAGACACAGGAACTACCTCCAGAAGCTTACAGCTAGAGATCCTCCACACTTGCTTAAAAAATGAGGGGAAAGGCAAGATAACAGGAAAGGGACATATCTATCCAAAGAAATATTGCAAATGAATTTACGTTTCCCAGAACTGTCAGTTCCATACATCATGAGTTGGCTGGTTTAAGGACAGATTTACCTACACAATATTGTTTCTACGTAAAACTGCACTACAGACTGAGAACTTCTTTCATTAGTTATCTTCCAAAGCACCGAATAAATGACAAGTATAGCAACAACAACAAAAAATAAAACAGTAAAAGTTTAAGAAATGATAAAAACATTAAGATTCCCGGGCTGGTGTGGCTCAGTGGATTGAGCACCAGCCTGCGGACTGAAACGTCACCGGTTCAACTCCCAGTCAGGGCACATGCCTGGGTTTGTGGGATATGAGAGAGGCAACCAACTGACGTTCCTCTCACATGTTTCTCTTCCTCTCTGTCTCCCTCCTTCCCATCTCTCTAAAAAAATAAATAAGTAAAAAAATAAAAGAAAAAATTTAAGACAGTGATAAGTATATTTTAATAAAATAATAAGGATTACTTTGATATTTTACACAAATTTTAGTTGATTATACTTAAAAGTTATCAAATACTAGGATACACATAGCCTAAATGAAGCTTAAATTTAGTACAGTACAAAAATTCAATGTTTTCATGTAAATTTTAAAACCTATACAAAAGGGGCTATTTTTCTATGCTATTCTTCTATAAAAACATTTATTAATAAAAAGCCTTCTTTTCCTTTTTCATTTTAAAGAAAACACATTCTCAATCAGAAAACCAAGATAAGAAATAATACATGATGTAACAAAATGTTATTTAAAAGATGAAGCAAAAACTGTGTAGGTATGACCTATTTAAAAAATTAGAATATTTTGTGGACTTATGAGCAAGAAGTAGCTTTAAAAACATTTTGTTATTCTTATAAATTAATGTTCAAATTAATGTAAACTCAAGTTAATGTACGGCTTTACTGCTACTTGAAAATACTAGGAGGAAATGACACATTAACTACAAACACTGAAGAAAACTAAAGGGCCACTATATTCTACCAAAGCAAGTACGAATGTTGACCCTTCTAGAGACTCCCAAACTTGTTACTTGCCTCATTATACTGTTTTTACCTCCCCTATAATTTCAAGTGTTATTTCATCACCACCTTGCTAATATAATACTTGGAATGAAATTTCTCCCCAATTTTTTGGTTGTAAGGTCCACATTCTTACAAGATGAAATGTTTAAGTGCGTTGTTCTTTAGTGAAGTTCACAAAGCTATCTGACCAGGTCCGTACTGAGACCTGAAATCTGAATGGCTGGACTAGAAAGTACACACAAAGAGGCTTCCTTATCGTTTTGGTTCCTCTACATTTTAAAATGACATTGTAAGAAAAGAAAACTGTCTTCATAGAAGTGAGTTGAAGAAATAAATTAATTATATCCAGCAAGTTCCCAATAAAAAGTGACCAATTTTACCCACAAATAACCCATTTTCTTTGCCTACTTGCCTCAACAGAAAACATTTCCCCAAAAAGTGTTCAATGTAACACTCAAATAAGAGTCAAAATTAAGAAACCCCTTTCTCATGAAGAATAATGCACTAAATTAGCGGTTATTTTTAAAATTACCTACCAAAACTCTGGCAGGGCAAAAACATCCGAGTTCACCTGGCACATAGTAGGAACTCAGGAAGCAACTTGTTGAATGAAGGCATTTAGTGCTAAAAACCTTCCATGGGAATAAAATGAGAGTTGGAACAGCAACGTGCTCCTCCCCACTCAGATTAATTAAATGTAAATTCTGCACTAAGGAAAAACTTATTAAACTAAAGCAAATGTACAATAACTCCATTATATATTAAAATAAGCTTGTGTTTCAACATAAATATAAAGCAATTGCTAAAGCAATCAACTTAACTGTGAACTTCCTGCATCTTCCCCCCAAAAACGACTGCATCACAGTGTAATTGCACTTCAGAAGTTAAAAGATCTGATTTACATTAGATGAATAATGGTGGTTTGGGTTTTGTCTTGTTTTTTTTTTTTTTCCTGCTTTGGGGTTGGGGTTTTTTTTTTTGCCACTTACATAAATGGTGCATAAAAATCCATAATATAGAAACAAATGTAAGGCTACTTTATAGCCCCAGGAAAATCTACTCATTTTATTTCTTAAAAGAGATAGCTAATTTAAATATCAAGATAATATTTCTTTCCTCAGCCCTGAAGGAAAGAGCGTTCTGAGTTGTTTCCAAGCTGGCATACACGTACTCAATCTTGGCTAATTTCCAAAGGCACATATGTTATAGTAAACCCTCTTCTTTCAATGCCAAAAACTTTTTGCTCCTAGAAATTGTTTTACTGGCACATTCTCAACATATCAGTATTTCAATACCTGCTAATCCTAGAGAAACAAGAGTGGCCAACACACTCCAGAAAAGTAAAAGTTCCATTCTAAATCTATAAAAAGTTGACTTTTTCTTTGACTAAGAGCCAATCTGTTACATCTGAGAGTTTAAAAATAGTAGTTCTCAACCTTGGGTGCCACTTTAGCATCACGGAGGGATGTTGATTGTGTTTTAATACACAGCTATTAAGTCTATTAGGTCTTAATACATAAAAGACTTTCTTACAAACAAGCTAATATTTGTCTTAGACACGAAGGGGAAACACATTTTGGCCAATTCTGATGGAAGTTTTATGACATCTTTTTAAGTGTTTTTCCAGTGAACACCAATGACTGACTGACTGACTAGATAAAGAGAGAGAGAGCGAGCAAGCACAAGGGCCGATTTGCTTTGCAAATACAGATCTTCTATAATGAAAATGTACACTTGAAACCCATAAGATCCTATTAACCAATGTCACCCCAATAAATTTAATAAAAAAACTTTTTTTTAAGTTTCTAGGGACTTCTAGTCAAGACTGTTGCATAGGTAGACATGGCTTACCTCTTTGCACAAACAAAACAAAATTACAACTAAGATATAGAACAACCACTGCTTAGAATCTATAGAAATCTAGTTGAATGGGAGTCTGACAACCACGGACTTAAAGAAACCACATACATCCAGTCTGAGCCAGGAGACCAGTGCCATATCTAAGATTCCATCAACCTGGCTAACACTGTTTGAACAACATTGGAGATTCCCAGAGAGTCAGCCCCACCCAATTTACAGGCCCACCCAAACTGCTTTTCCATATGAATGGCTAGTCTTGGCTCATGCTGCACAACCTCCTAAATCCTCTCAAACAAGCAGCAGCTGGCCTTAGTGAGCCCCAGGCTCAGAACTAGCAGCTCTAGTCATAGCTTGGCATCCCCCTGGGAATCTCTAAGCACAGCACAAGCAGCAGCCACCTCAAGGCTGCTTTATAGCTCAAGCAGGGTGGCCCCAGGCAAAACACAGGTGGGGGCTGATGTTGGCCTCCATCACCCAGGAAACCCCAGGACCAACACACCCAGTGGACAGCTACAGACCACCTCAGAGCACCCCCACCCTGCCCCTGCACAGTTGATCCTCCATGGAGGGAGGAGGTTGGTGGTAGTCACAGCCAGTCCTTGCAGCTGACTGACCTGGGTATATCCCACCTATTGATCTGACAGCAGCAAAGGCTCAACTACAAGAGGAAGGGGTACTCAGCCCACAGGAAGGGCACATCTTGAATACCCTGCTTGGGTGTTATGGGAGGGTGTGCCACTGGACCCTAGGGGACACCTTCTGTGTTAAGCCACACTACCAAGACACGGAGTCAAAAGAAACATGGTCCAGATGAAAGAGCAGATCAAAACCCCAGAAAAAGAACCAAACAAAATGGAGAGAAGAAATCTATCAGATACAGAACTCAAAACACTGGTTATAAGGATGCTGAAGGAACTTGATGAGGACCTCACCAGCATAAAGACGATCCAGCCAAAAACGAAGGATACACTAATTGAAATAAAGAACAGTTTACAGGGAAACAACAGTAGAGTGGATGAAGCCAAAAATCAAATCAATGATTTGGAACACAAGGGAGGAAAAAACAAAACAACCAATCAGAACAATGAGAAGAAAAGAGAATTACAAAACTAACGACAGCTTTAAGCAATCCAACATCCACTTCAGAGGGCTGTCAGAGGGAGAAGAAAGAGTAAGAAATCGGAAATCTATCTGAAAAAATAATGAGAGGAAATAAAATAATGAAAGAAAACTTCCCTGATTTGGTGAAGGAAAGAGACACGCAAGTCCAGGAAGCACAGAGAGTTCCAAACAACATGGACGCAAAGAGGCCCACACCAAGACACATCATAATTAAAATGCTAAAGGTTAAAGATAAAGAGATGAAGGGGTGGGGGGTGGGTGACAGGTGAGGGGACTAAGAAGCACAAATGTGTAGTTACAGAATAGTCATGGGGATGTAAAATACAGTATAGGAAATGTAGCAGCCAAATAACTTTTTATATGTGTTACCCATGGACATGAACAAGGATGGGGATATTGCCTGAGGGAGCGGTGAGTGGAGGGGTGCAATGGGGAAAAACCAGGACAACTGTATAAGCACAATTAATAAAATATAACTAAAACAAAATTTTTTAAATATTTTATTTTTAGCCCTGGCTGGTGTAGTAGCTCAGTGGATTGAGTTGGGCCACATGATCGCGGTTCGATTCCCAGTCAGGGCACATGCCTGGGTTGCAGGCCAGTTCCCAGCAGGGGACTCATGAGAAGCAACCACACATTGATATTTCTCTCCCTCTCTCCTTCCCTTCCCCTCTGAAGATAAGTAAATAAAATCTTTAAAAAAGATTTTATTTTTAGAGAGAGGGGAAGGGAAGGAGAAAGAGAGGGAGAAAACCACCAAGGTGCAAGAGAAACAGGGATCTGGTACCTCCCCTGCCCCCAACCAGGGAGTGAACCTGAAACCCTGGCACGTGCCCTGACCAGGAATCAAACCAGTGATATTTCGGCTTGCAGAACAATGTCCAACCCACTGAACCACACCAGCCTAGGCAAAAAATTAAAGAAAAAAAATGGGAATGGAAGTCGAAGACTAAAAGAAAAAAAAATTCCATCGACTTAAGTTTTACATCCTGGCTCGTGTGGCTCAGTGAATTAAGTCCTGGCTTATGAACTGAGAGGTCACCGGTTCGATTCCTAATTAAGGGCACATGCCTGAGTTGTGGGCCAGATCCCTGCTTGGCAGCAATTGACGTTTCTCTCACACATCAATGTTTCTCTCCCTCTAAGAAAAACAAAAACAAAACCCCCAAACCTTAAGTTTTCCTACTCTCTTTGGGGAATGTTCTGAACATTTTTAACATAAAGTATCAATATATCTACCCCGCTAACAAGGGACTTAAATTTGTAAAAGCTTAAATTGGTTTTTCAAAGACACAATGCATTATACAGATAATATATTGTAGAACTGTACACTTAAAATCTTTATAATCTTATTAACCAATGTCACCCCAATGAATTTAACAAAATTTAAAAAACAGAGTGCCAGACATTTTAATGAAAGAACATTGTTTCCATTACAAATCCTTTGATTCAAATGAAAATGAAAACCTTACTGCTTTCTTTTATAAATGAAATGCAAACTATTATCATTAGTGCTATTATAATTATTATTATTATTACTGATTTGATTTTGTGTTTATTCACAAATTTTAGTCACAAAGAAAATATTTCTTTGGATGATATTAAGATTATACAGCTTTTGTACCCACCCTGAATTTGTTCAACTTAAAGATACTTCATTATAAAGTGTAAAAAGTTTAAAATTCATACTAGTTGACCCATCAACTCTACCCCTGTGAACTTACCTGAAAAGATCCCTTAAGAAATTTAAATTTATGTTCAAGAATGTTTTTCATAGAATTAAATTATTTTAGTAACAAAATTACTTACTGTATTATTAACTAACTACTGAAAATAGGAAATTAGTGGAGTATGTTACGATTCTATCTTCCCATTACGAAACTGCAGTCCTCGCAGGATAAGCAACTGTCGCCAGCGGCTGGGAGAGGGGGAGGCTGAGGGCAGCGGATGCGGAGGGCATGCGCTAAAACAGTCTCGGGAGCCAACTGTGCCCTCCCCACCCTGACATCTCCTTAGGGCCACCAGACAGACTGTTTTCTGAAGAAGCCACATCATCCCGCTATAACAAACAGCTCACTATTGTCCATTACACATAAACGGCACAGTATGAACATAAAAAATAAACTCCCTAAGGCCTGTGATACGACCCTTACACACATTTAAGATAAATATCTCAAAGACTCTGGGGAGTAATTTCAACAGTTCAAATTAACCCATACCTGACTTGCTTTGAATTGAAATTTTTGACCTATTCTAATTTGCACAGCATAATGGCTTTAAGAAAATATTTAATTAGTACAATGTCCAGGGGAAAAAACAACCACCATGTTTGAAATGAATGATATTCATTACTGAAGCCATTTCGCTATTAAGTAAACTATACAGAGTTTTAAACAAAGTGCTTAATAATGGAATACTACAGGGTGGGGCAAAAATAGGTTTATAGTTGTGAGTACACAAAACACAGAGTTTATTCTTGTATTATTATTATTTATTGTATTATTTTTTTACACAAACGACTGTAAACCTGCTTTTGCCCGACCCTGTAAGCAGAAGGTGAAATTATAATGACTTGTAGACGTGTAAGAAAATGTTACAGTAACCACCTAGTGCAAAAAGCAGAGTACAGAAAGGTATGTAGATTACAGCTACTAGCATACACAAATGGGTGATAGTGAAGTTGAGGGTAACCTCCAAAAATATTTAATAATATTAAACAAAATAGACATAGGCAATTTTTCTAGGCCTAAAGGCCTAGTTTGTTTCTTTTGAGATCCAGATTTTAAGTAAAGAAATAAAGAATAAAACTGAATGCACAGCTGTTTGCTTCCAGGAATATAAACAGGAGGAAATAAACAGGGAGGCTAATGTCTGTGCGACGGGGCTAACTACTTCACCCCCAGCTGTGTTTTAATTTGTATTACTCAACAGTAACAAACCCTTTTTATGACAGGGGCTGAGAATTTCCATTTGTGCCCAGTGAAAGAGGCACACCAGAAAACACTCAGACTGTTAGAATCAGTAATTTACTGTCTGAGCTATATTCTAAATTGTACATCAGTTGAATTACTCAGGAGTTAATTCTAATTTAATACCATTTAAAAGCACAGATGAGGACTCTGGTCAAGATGGAGGCACAGGTAAGACACACTTCACCTCCCTGCATAACCACAAGGAGAACCACAACTAACCTCAAAACAAAAAACACCCAGAACTGCCAGAAAATGAAACTGCATGGAAGTCTTTCCAAGCAAGGTTTTAAAGAAGCCATATTCATCCAGATGGGTAGGAGGGGTGGAGGGAACATGGTGTGTTGGCTCTGTGAGGTGGCTGGTGGAACATTCCCATGAGGTGGATAAAAATCAGGAGGGATACCTTGGGGCAGTCCCAGCCCCAGGCTAGACTGCCCAGTTCCAGCACTGGGAAGAGAAAGAAATTGGCGCTGCAGAAGAAACTGCTGGTGTCTCAGAGAGTTCATTTAAAGGGCCAGCATGGTCCTAGAACGCACGCAATCCCACCCACTCTGGGGACCACCACGAGGGCAACAGTTAGAAGGGCGCCAGTTGTATACAGGAAGTGGGTAAAGTGACGGGAAATGAGGTGAGCATAAACCAAGCCTCCAGTAGCCGGGCAGTGACACTGTCCCCTCTCCAATCCCCTCCCTGACATACAGGGCCACAAAGTGGTAGAGCAGGTTGCCCCACTCTAGCCAATACCTAATGTTCTACTCCATACAACTCAATCAGAGTCAAAGCAGCTGTACCCAATACACAGAAATAAACACAGGGAGGTTGCCAAATTGAGGAGACGAAGATATATGGCCCAAATGAAAGAACAGACCAAAATACCAGAAAAAGAACTAAATGAAACGGAGATTCAAATGCAGAGTTCAAAACATTGGTGCTAAGGATGCTCAGAGAACTCACTGAGTATGGCAACAACAAAAAGGAAGAAATTAAGGTTACACTAAGTGAAATAATGAAAAATACAAGAGGAACCAACAGTGAAGAGAAGGAAGGCAGATTTCAAATCAACAATTTGGAACACAAAGAAGAAATAAACATTCAAGTAGAACAGAATGAAGAAGTAAGAATTCAAAAAAACAAGGAGAGTGCTAAGAAGACTCTGGGACATCTCCAAACGTGCCAATATCTGAATCATAGGGATGCAGAAGGAGAAGAAAAAGAGCAAGAAATTGAAAACATATCTGAAAAAAATAACGAAAGAAAACTCCCTAATTTGGCAAAGGAAACAGATATACAAGTCCAGGAAGCACAAGTCTCAACCAAGTTGGACCCAAAAAAGACCATACCAAGACACATCAAAATTAAAATGCCAAGGTTAAAGATAAAAAATAGAATCAAAAGCAGGAAGAGAAAAGCAGAGTTACCTACAAACGAGCTCCCATAAGACTCTCAGCAGATTTCTCAAAAGAAACTTTGCAGACAAGAAGAGGCTGGAAAGTATTCAAAGTGATGAAAAGCAAGGAGCTACAATCTAAATCACTCTACCCAGCAAAGCTATCATTTAGAATGGAAAGGCAGACAAAGTGCTTCCCAGACAAGATAAAGCTCCTAAAGGAGTCCTCCATCACCAAGCCATTATTACATGAAATGTTAAAAGGACTCATTTAAGAAAAAGACCATAGCTATGAGCATTAAATTGACAACTCACAACTGTCAACAACTGAATCAAAAAACAAAAACAAACTAAGCAAACTACAACAGCAATAGAATCTCATAGGTATGGGGTTCATCTGGAGAATTAATCAGCTGGGAGGGGGAAGGGGGGAATGGGGATTAAAAAGCATAACTGGTAGGTATAAAATAGACAAGGGCACATTAAGAGTAGTATAGTAATTGGAGAAGCCAAAGAACTTATATGCACAACTCATGGACATGAACTAAGGGGGGAAACTGGTAGAGGGATAGGGGATCTGGAAAGGAGGGGGGCAAAGGGGGAAAAACTGGGACAACTGTAATACCACACTCAATAAAATATACTTTAAAAATAAATAAATAAAAACAGAGGTAGTGGCAGAGCTGCCAGATCACTATATTTTAAGGGACTTAAAATATAGAGAGGATGGGCAAATAAAAATTATACTTATTGCTGCAATAAGACAAGTCAATTAATTAAGCAAGCTGGCTTAGGCCAAGGTCAGTTTCCACCGCAAGATCACAACTGCAAGTAGCCCTGTTCCTTATACTTTAAAAACTATAGTAATACTTCTACCATAGCCAAGGAGATCAGGGAGGCAGGGATATGTTCAAATATAAGTGAAGTAATCCATTAGTAGGTGAATGTCTTCTTTACAGCTATTTTAGACACTAGTTCCCTCTTTCCTTTTCTCCTGTCTTAAATGAGAACTGTAATGTCAATGGAAGTCTAGACCCATATAAAACCAAGAAAGGGACATGCAAAAATGTACTATGAAACAGAGATTCTTCAAGTTATCAATTTTTTAATGCCAGCATAAGATGACTACTTTTACACAGGACACTTTATAAGAAATTATTGTATGTACACAGCAGGGGAGAGGTGGTTGGCTGGAGGGGATGAATGGTAATGGGAAAAAATACAATAAAAAATGAAGTCTCAAAAAAAGAAAGTACACTAATTTTCAACCTAATTTTATAGAACTAACTTTTTACAATTTTACTATGAATTTGATCCCCAATTTATGACAACAGTTGTGTCGGTTAAAATGTGTTGAAGTTTTTTTTCTTAAAAAGCTGGTCATAGTAGATACGACATAGGTTACATAAAAGGATTGATAAATTCCACATGTGGGTACTACTCAAAACTGCTGTTGCATTTAAAAAAAAACTAGTGAATATTAAATAATCTGATTACCTATTTTCATATTGCAGATGGAGTGTTACCATAAAGGTTAAAGATGCTCAAAGATGGTTTCCAGTAGGGTACAAACCCACAGGGCCAACCTACCCAAAGACTAATCCTGGGCCTACCAGTTCTGTAAGGTTTAGGTCCCTCATTTCTAAGGAGATGAAATGCTTACACAGTGAGAGGCACATAAATGCTCAGCAACTGGTGGGTAGGTCCCTGTGGCATATGCAATAAATGACAATGCATATAAAACACTCAGCAGTGCCTATAGTTAAGTGTTCCATAAATAGTAGACAGGCACTTAGAACAAATAACATGAATGTAGTCTCTAAGCTGAATAAGTATTTTCTCAAAATCTTAGAAAGCAAAAAACTCCACTATTAGCATGTAATTTTTAATCTCGAGTATCTAGCACCATTCCTAGAAAATAGCAGGTATAGGATAAACACTGTTAAATGGCTTAATAATAACTATCGAAGCTCTGAGTATTACTAGTTTGAGACCTTGTTTATTTCATCTTTGCATTCCAGTGCCTGGCAGATTATGTAACACAGCGTTCAGCTCCTTCTTTTTTCATTTGATATAAATATAAATTTATTTGAACATTTAAAACTTTTCAAGTCAAGGCAACAGGCTTTGTGTCTGGACTAGGACACCCACAGGGTAAAGGCCAGCTCTGTCCAGCTCATTGCGATATTCCTAATAGATAGTCAATGTTTAACACATATTAGGGGCTCAAATATTTAAGCAAGTGCCTGAAATTTTTTTTTTGTTCTGTACCAAGAGGAAAACAAAACCATGATTCCTAACCAGAGTTCATACCAAACATTTAAGAAGGTTATGATGAAAAAAATTACTGCTGGGAAGCTTTTTAAAGAAAAAAGTCTTGGTTTATGTCCAGTGTCTCTCCATGTAGCTAGGAAAAAAAAAAAAGAAAGTCCTGAGGTGACAAGCAGAGTAAGATTATTGCAGTAATGGCCTCACAGCAGTGCTATCATTTTAGGTCCCATCAATATTTACTCTAAACAGCACACTGAATTTTTGTGTGCTTTCTTAACAAAACTGAAACAATTCATATTAGTCATACACAGTTTTACCAATAATATATGTTGTGTGCTTTCTAACCTGAGAAGCTCCATGCCACCAACTTCCTACCCAACTTTTCATAAAGCTCTATAAAAATCCCCAATTATTTCCTCTTCTGTTTCCCGAAAGTCGTAATAACTGGCTTGGTTCTATGCCCTAAAAGAAAAAAACAAAGAAAGGAAATGCTCCTATCTAATCTTTTTCACCCCTCTGCCAATTAAAGAGCATACTCCTAGGGAGGTCCCTGCAATACTAACTCTGAGAGATAATAAATGACAGGAAACTTCAAAAAGCAAGATTATAAAATGGAAACTATTTTCTAATACGAATAATTCTCTTAAAAAGCAAACAAAGTAAAAGCCATAATAAGGAAACATTTCAGCCCTGGCTGATGTGGCTCTGTGGATTGAGTGCCAGCCTGCAAAATTAAGGGTTGCCAGTTTGATTCCCTGCCAGGGCACATGCCTGGGTTGCAGGCCAGGTCCCTGGTTGGGGGTGCAGCAGAGGCAACCAGTCAATATCTCTCGTGCGCCTCAATGTTTCCCTTCCTCTCCTTCTTCCTCCCTTCTCCTCTCTCTAAAAATAAAGTCTTGAAAAAAGAAAAAATTTGACAACCACTAGATTGGCAAAAATACAAAAGTTGGACAGTATCAAGTGCTGGCAAAGATGTGAAGCAACAAGAACTCATGTTGCAGGGATTATAACAGCACAACTACTTTGGAAAATAATTTAGATTTATACAATAAAGTGGAAATGCACATGCCTTATGACATCAATTATACTCAGTTATTTTTCTAAAGAAATCCTATAAATGTGCTTGGGGAGATATACAGTAATATTCACACAGGAACCATAAAATAGAATAGGAAACAAATATCCACCAACAGGAAATAGTTAAGCTACCGTATAATCATACACTAAAATGCTACAGACATAAAAATAAACTACATCAACTGTGGATAAATCTCACAAATAATTGTATCTAACACAATAAACAAATAGCATACAGAGTGACTTCACTTTTGTAAAGGTTAAAAAGGAGAAATGGGAACTTAAATCATGGGTTGTCTGTGAACTGAACTCAAGCAATTGTGGTGACGTTTAAAGAAAACCATGAGAATGTTATAAACACAAAATAATGTACAGTGTCTACTAATGTGGGGGGCAGAAGAATGGGGTCAAAGAGGGTCTTCAAAGGTTTGAGCATGCTCTATAGCTAAAGCGGAGTATCCAGTGTACTGGTTATTCATTTTGTTTTTCTTCATCTCTGACAAGTTATATTTACTTGGTATATATTAAGTTCTTCACAATGAAATGTAACACATACTCAAAAAGGTTTTAAAAAGTCTTAGATGGGATAAATGAAGTGGTGAAAAATTTCACCCACAGAGACTGGACTATTGCTGACTTCAAAAAGTATACTCACCTGTACTGGACGATTTAGGTTACATAGATTATTTTAACCTGCCTTGCACCTTCCAACAGAACAAGGATAACCAAAGAGTCAGAGGCCAGGAAGTAATTATTAACAATTATTCTTCATGTTACAGAGTCCCTCCTTATGAGTTTATAGTCAAATTACTCCCAGGGGGTTCTGGGAATCCGTGACTCTTCTACCGTTGTTATTCTTATTCTGTTGCCGATTAGGCAACTTTGTGGTTTGAAGATTATGAAATTTTGCTCTGGTTCACTACACAGTTTCAACTTTGAAAGCGACTAACAGCAAAAAGATGAGATTAAATATTTACAGTATTTTATTAGTACCAATGTAAAAAAACCTTATAAACAAAAATTAGAAAATATTAACCAGAAAATCCTGATCCTTGGATTTTAGACTTGATTTAGTACTTGGTCTGCAGCACTACATAAAGTAATTAAATCATTGTCCTTTAAGCATTTGCATACATCATTAATGTTTCATATTTTCAAATAGTTTACATTTGGAAAACGTCATTTTTAATACAAAGATACTTAAAATATTTTGGAAAAACCCACAGTGCAAATACCAAGGCAATAAATGAACGTCTCTCTGTTCAGCACCCCAAGGGTTCACAACGTCTACCTACACCCCTTACACAGGCGGAACCCAGAAATCCCTGGGCTTACCACTATACCACAGGCCAAGTGTCACGGTCTCCCTCTGCTAGCCTCATGGTCACTTTTCTCTAACATTCTACTGAACCGAAATCCATAAAGTTTCACAATGCCCAAGTTCAGACCATCTCTATTCCAATCTCTCAATCCACCCCTTGAACCAGCATTAGCCCTACGAGGTTTTGTTCTGTCTGTCCCTGACCCAGACTTCACTTCACCTCTATCTTGTAAACTGAACTACCTATGGAAGTGGTCCATCATCATCAGCAAACTCCCCTATATCCTCAATTTCTTCTCAAAGCATCACCCCAACACCCTGGCTTTAAAGACTTCCCCTTGAGGACGACAGACACCCTGCTGTACTCTCTCAAACAGCAGCTGTTTATTCCCTGCTCTTCAAGATCCTTCAACCAGCTGAGCCATTCATTCCCTTAATCCCAGGACCCTGTCATCCCCAAAACATAACATAGCACAACTGAAATCTCCGCAAGCTTTACAATATGTTTCCAATGCTTCTTATGGATCCACTCCTTGATTCTGAGCTGGTTTTGTGACTTCCTTGGACCAACACAAAGTGGTGGAAGTGACGCTGTCCAAATTCTGAGCCCAGGTGTCAAGAGCTAGAGAGAGCACTTGCGCTCCTTCACTTTGCTGGCATAAATGACACCTGCTTTCACCACAACAGCGAGCCTGGGCAAGCCTATTGGAGGACGAGAGATCATGCAAAGACAGCCAAGTCCAGGTAAGGCCATTCTAACCAGACAAGATGAGCGAAGTCTCCTAGCTGACTCACAGCTGATCTCAAGACAACAGTAAACAAGAGAAACTAGAGAAATTGCCCAGGGATGTGTACACAGTAATGTAGCTCTTATTTTAAGCCACTACATTTTTTGGATGGTTTGTTATATAGCAACATTAATTAATCACATTAATTAATCATATCTATTCAACTTGGGTTCGCTATTACATTTCTCCTTTAATGGTTTTGAGGACTTGAAGCCAAAAACTGTGAAGTATTTTAATTTCAGTGTCTTCTGCAAATGAGGCTTTAATAGTAGGCCAGGCAGGAAATATTACTTAGAGAAAGGATTTAGAACCCTATGACAGGGCTGTTTCTCCTACCAATAATGGTGCTTGTTTTCCATTTAGAGTTTCTTTTGCAGCTCTGCGAAAAAGGAACAGCAGCTGGAATGAAAATCATACTATAAAAATCTGGATTGTTAGGTAAATGTCCAAACCAGACCTGGGACTCCTTTTTGTAAGGGAAAAAAATAAGCAGTTGATTTGCTTGTCCTTTTATCATTCTTTTCTGAAATGCAGAAATTTCTCAGCGCAAACCATTTCTGAGAAACATATCTATTTTTCCAAATTTACAAAAATAGTTTCATTTCTATTTTGCACACTGTCTTCTACCTCCTCCAAGAGCTTAAGTAAGCAGGATTTTACTGTGTCTAAAGCTTAAATAGACCTACAGCCTAACTCGGCAATTCTAAATCTAACAACTATTTTATAAAAATATTTGCACATGACCACAAAGTTTGTGCATATTTTCACTGCAACAGTTTTAGATATTGAGAAAAGCTTAAATGTCCAGAACAACTAAATTATTAAAGCATATTTTACACCTATTACAACAAGGGGATTGACTTTTAACTACTAACATGAAAAGACCTAAGATGTTTACTAAGTAAAAAGGTAGTCAAAGGACAGTACATACAGAACAAGCCCATTTTTGTAAAAATACACATATATGCACATGTACATGTACGTATGAATGTAAATGCAAAAAGAGTAGACTGGAAAGATAAACCAAACTGTAGAGATGCACAACCTCTTGGAGGGGTTGGGACCAGGGTGGGGAAACATAAAAGATTCCACAAACTGTTTCAGGAGCAAGAGCAACATTTTCCAATAAATCTTCCCTAGAATGCAGAGCACTATAGTGTCTGACCGTAAATTGTCACAGATGATTACTAGTTACATCACATGAATGAATCCAAAGGTCAAGTTAACAACCCAGTCAAACATTTACAAATCACACACTCACATATACATGTTGATACACATGTGACTCTATCCATCCATCCACGCATTTGACCCTGGGCTGAGCTTTCTCAATCACCACTATAGGTATTCTGATTCTCATCTATGAAGCCTGTTACATTTTTTTCATTCCTCAATGGGAAACAGCAATCCTGGTATAAAATATGGGTATTCTGCAAACTAATGGTGCAGAAGATACCAATTATGGCTAACTTATACTACCAACTATATTGTCAATGTGAAACCAGGATGAACAGAGGTTTAAGATTCAATTTACTCAAATACTCAAATGTTTTTAAACTACCTGGGCTTACAGACAAGGTCATGAAGTACTTTCACTTTTTAGGTATATGGCTTTATGATATAAATTTGTAGATATTAACGTAAGGATGGTAAATGCTTCTACATCCTCACCTAAGCCTCTACAAACATCATCAGCTTATCAAAATATGCTTTCTTAATGATCCAGAAGTTGGGTCTCCCAATCTGAATAGTGTTCCCAACTGCTACTCCTAATCAGTTAGCATTGAAGTGCTAGCTGAAACTCACTTTTTACCTCTGGTGCTCCACTACATCCATGATCTGAAACAAACCACATCCCCTGGTATTTATAGGCTTGTATAGTCAATCAGTCCTCTCTCACTTGTCATTTCGGCCTTGGTCATGTGACCTGCTTTGGCCACTAGGACATAA